GGAGGGCTGCCTTCGCTTCCACGCATTTCCCACACAGCAGCCCTGCCCAGCCTTACTCTCCTGCAACAAAGACACTGACAGATGCTGGGCAGAGTTCAGGGGCACAACCTTGTACCTATTCTGGGCAAGTGGGCACCAACCCCCAATCCAGGTCTTTAGCTGGCCTCCTTTGTTGGGCACAGGTCTCTTGCCTCTCACCTACAAGCTTCATGTTTCAAAATCTGAGTTCAGGCAGGGGTGTAAATCTCCCCCACAAACCCCAGGAGGATCAAGGATTGGGTGAGAACCTACCTCAATGGTCAGAGTGGCCTGGCCAGTGTCAGGGATAAAGCAGAGAAGCAGGCACACAATTACTGAAAGTCCCCAGAGATCAAACTGGAGATTACAGGCAGGGGTGTTCCATGTGCAGAAGCTGCCAGTCTAAGCAGTAGGCATGGTTAGGGACTAGGGCCAGACAGAGGCCCAAATGATGGCGTGTCATTGGCTAGCACCAGTGGCTATCACATGACCTAGAACCCAGTACAAGAAGAGAGAGACAACTGAGAATGGGGTGAAGCACAAGAAGGCAGGGAAGCCAGGAGCAGCACTGGCGTCTGAGCAGGACTGAACAGGAGGCCAGTGCCCACCAGATAAGAGCTGGAGGTCCAGGTGTCAAGGGGGACCAGATGAAAGGGAAGGGGCTGTGGGTCTGGAAGGCTCTCTAGAGGCCTGGATGGTCAGGGTGCGGCACGCGCCCAGCCAAGGCCTCCACTGTGGGGCCTGACTCTGAAAGCGGCTGCAGCTTGGCCAGCCTCAGGCCTGGGCAGCCAGCCCAACCACTCCCTGAGCTGCACCGGTAGCAGCAGTCCAGGGCTTGGTCCAACAGCCAGCAGGAGGAGAGGAGGGGCGAGAACACTCTGTCACCCTCCACTGCTCTAGATTCAAACCAGACCTGGGATGGCATAGTCCATCCCCACCCTATTGCCCCACGTGAGTCCACAACAGCTGATGGCCAAGGGGTGGCAGGTGCTCCCTGCCCACCACAGCCCCTGGCCTCCTAAAAGGGCAACTTCACCCTTCACCACACTGAGGAGCTGTGGGACAAAGAGCTGGTGCTCCCTTAGCATGTGCCCCACAGAGGCAGCTGGGTAGAGGGGGGCTGGCCCGCACCCTGGGCCAGCAGCCTCCCCTGCAAGCTGAGCTGGGCTGGAAAAGCTCGGCTCAGCCTCAGCTGTCAGCTCCCTGTCCCCAGCCTGGGGAACAAACCGCTGGCAGCACCACATGATTCATCACCAGGCTGCTAGCGCCCGGGGCCAGCCACCCCCGCCCTGCTCAGCACCTGCGGGCTGCCAGGAAACACATGTGACCTCTTTGGGTCAGGCCCAGCACTGAGACCCCAGGCTAGACTGGTGGAGGGCTGACAGACCTCAGCTCCATGCTTTCCTGGGGACCACCCGACCCCTAAGAAAAGTCTATGGAATGAGGCTGGGTAGGTCCACATCCATCCCTCCGTCCCACCCCATCTCCCCCCACACACACTGCACCGGACACAGCAGCACCATCGGCTAGGACTTTTCCGCTCTTGATGAGTCCCCCTCCCTTCCCCCTCCCCAAAGTGGCTGCAGCTGTCAGGACCGCAGATTGGAACTGCAGGTATGGGGCTGGCCCGCTGCCCACCTCCCTCCCGTGTCTGTCTGCGAGAGAGGAAGCCAGCCCACCTCTGGAATCCTTCACTCTCTCCTCGTTCCGCCTCTCCCACCTGTCCCTCGGGAGCATGGGGTCAGCCGCCTTGCTCAGTCTCTCTCTTCCCCAGCCCCTCTCCGATTACAATGCGGGTAGTGTTCACTGTTGCTCTGCTCCCCCTGCACCAACGGCCCTCTTGTCTCAGAGCCCATGGCCTTCCTGTGCTGCCACCTCCCCCTCCTGGGGTGTCTTATCTCTCAAAGTGCTCAGGGCCAGCCAGCTGCCCTGGGCTGACCTGCCACACTGACCCCAACAGAAGGTTCCAGCTGGGATGCTACGCCCTGGAGCATGCATTAGAAGGACATGATAGACCAGAGGGAGAGAGTTTCTTTCTGCTCTAAGTCCAAAACAGCTAAAGATTCATCAGGGGTTGGGAATCAGGCAGGAGCCACCTTTAACCCTACCCCCTCCCTTACCAGCTCACCTCCAGTTTCTAACCACCCTGATACTTCCATTTCCAGCTTCTACCATGTTGACCATCCTGAGGGACTGGCTGACATCACCGGTGCTGTCAGACACATGGGAGCCCACTGTGCTGCCCACACCCTCCTGACAAGAGGGCAGAGAACCATGATATTTTGGGTGGACAGAGGACACGCCTTGCCTGTGAAGAGGGGGAAGCACCTCCCAAGGCCCAGCTTGCTTGTCCCTCTCCTGGGGCTAACCAAGATCCAATGGTATTCCTTCTTTTCCTGCAAACAGGAGACCCCAGATGCTCCTGGGGGGGGGGGGGGTACAGGGGTGGTGCACAGGCTCAGGCTGGCTTGTATCTCTGAAGGCTGAGGGCAAAGGCCTGTTCTGAGCTTCACTATCAGACTCAGTTGCTGCTTTAAGTTGGGAAGTGGGTCCAGAGCACCACACATGCTGAGCTCCTCACCAGTCCCCAACTGTAGGCATCTCCAAAACCTCAACGTGGACAATTTTTTTCTATCCTTAAGCACTGTCCACATACATGCTAACTATGACTCCTGTCCCCAGCAAGACAGTCCTGGCCCTGCATAGCCAGCTTCCTCAAAGTGCACCTGGTCTGTGCCTCCAGCACCTCACTATAATCATTATAGTATCCTTTGCCCTGTAAATGCCTGCCCTTACTGCACTCAGCTCTCCAGCTGTCCCCTACACCAGAGGACCATCAAGCAGTCAATGCCACTACTAACCCATGTGCCCCAACAAGAAGACATGTCTCTGAAGCAGCTTACCTCCCATCTGCCCACCACAATCAGTACCCCTATGAGCCACAGATGGTTTCCTCTACATACCCCTCCTCCATCCCTCTCCCAGCATGGGCACTCAGATACAGAGTGCCTCTGAGAACCACCAGGCCAAGGACAAGCTATGGCACCAGAGGTCTCCTTGGCCAACAGGTATACAGCAGTCAGAAACACATGTCCAGTCATGCCCAATTTGGTGAGGTCCCAGGGTGAGCTAGCCCCAGTGGAATGGGGCTAGACCTGAAGGGCTGATCTGAGTCTGGCCAGAGGCCCCATTCAGAGGCAGCATGAAGACTAGCCTGGAGTGGATAGCTGCCAGGGCAGCATGCAGGTCCAGGTGCTTTCCACCAAGATAGAGGAGGGCCACTCAATCGCTGGAAACCTGAGCCCACAGGCTCCCCTGCCAGCAGTAATGCAAGCAAGCATGGGGAGAGTAGAGTACACAGAGGGAGGAGGCCAGGACACGGGCCGGCAGGCGGGGGCGGCCCTGGAGAAGCTGAGACCGCCAGCGCTGGAGGCAGCTGCCGGTTCAGTAGCTGGGAGAAGCCATTAACGGCGTTTGGCGAGAGAGCAGAGGGGATCACAGGTTCTGGATGCAGACAGGCCAGGCGGCATCCCTGCGGGATCCCAAGTAATAGACCAGGCAAAGCTGGGGGCTGGGGTGGGAGTAGGAACTGGCCAAGGCTGTAGCCCAGCCCCCTCCAGCCCCAGCCCAGCTGGAGGCCTCATAGGGGATAGTCCTGGGTCCACTGCCTAGGGGACTTAGAAGGGTACTTGCAAGGAAGTTAGCTCCTTCCAGCCTCTCCAGGCCAGAGTTCATGGCTGCCCAGAACCCCTCAGACTGGCTACATTTCCTTGAAGACCAGGGCTGCAGGAATGCTGAGCAGGCAAGGAGGGTGATCTTCTGTCTGACCAGGCCTGGCCTCAGTTTCCCCCAGTTGCTTGACACACAGAGGAGGGGCAGCACTGGCCACTCACCCACCAGTCTACCCAGTATACCTCCCCGGGGGTCTCCAACTGCGGGATGAGATCATGTCTATGAAGCCCTGCTGTTGTGGGGAGGGGCTGAGGTGGCCATGTGGGGGTGGGGCGGCTGTAGCACAGTTGCTCCTCAGGGGCTCTCCCCCCACCCCCGCCAGGTCTAGCAACTCATCCAGGGGGCTCCACCCCCGCCCAGCTGAGCCCATGAAGGCTGCTTGGCTGTGAATCTGGAGGAAGGGAAGGAGGGGCTTAGTACAATCAGAAACCAATGCTCCAGACTGCTCAGTTTAAGAAAATCGACAGGGAGGGGAGCCTCAAAGCACAGCCCTGGCCAAATGACAACAGGGCCCAGGCTCCCATTTTCCCAGTCCAAGCCCTAGAAAGACCCAACGAATGGGCAAAGATGAGGTGGAGAGAGGCCGGTAATGGGGTACTTCTACTCCAAGCAGCAATAGGCTATCCCATACCACATGGCTGCCATTAAAATCACTGCCCCTAAGACAAACAACATCCCCCACCCCCCACCCCCATATCAACACCTTCCCAGCACCCTGGTTCAGAGCCCTGTTAAGAGTCTGATGGTATGGTATGGCCCACATAGCCAGTTCTGCCAGATGGCTCTGGTCAGCAAAAAATCCTGGTATTCTGATACCACTGGCTACCACCAAGCACACTGCCACAAGGAACTTATTCTCATAGGTCTAGGTAGTTTGTGGCCCTTGTAGATACCAACCAACTAGGTCACAACCAAAGACAGTACAGGCCTTAGCCTGTGGAGGATACCACACATACACCCTTGTGAAGAGTCTGCTGCCCTCAGGCCTCCCCATCAGCTCCACAAAGCTTGAGGTGGACTGAGCTCAGCTCTCCTAGCCTGATCTTTAACCAGGCATGGATGATCACAACACCTCACTCCCTCCCAGGCCTTGTCCCACCTTGCTTTGAGAAGGAGGAAGCAGGGTGCAGACTCAGGTGCATAACAGGCCCAAGCAAACAGTGGAAAGGGATGCCTATGTCCAGCCTGGCCCGTTTCCTGAATACAGAGCTCTGCCACCCCTGCAGCCAAAGGTCAGATGTTGGCAGGAACTGGGCAGACTGGCATCTCTACTGTTGCAGAGCTGTCACTAAGACTGACATGTGATTCTTATCACATTGAAGAGAGGAAAGAGCCCCAAGGAGGCTGGTCAGGCCTCCCAAAGGACACTAGACAGGCCAATTGGGGCACACCTCCCTGCAAGCAGGCAGGGTCAAGCGGGCACAATGTACGGCACTGACCTGTTCTGGAAGGCCCCTTCTCCAGCACTTATTCTCCATTTACAATCAACATTGATTTCTCAAAATACCAAGTTTAAAAAAGTAGCCGACAGGATGTGGCTGCCGACAG